TTTAAGTATTTATTCTTTGTTAATTCATTACTCCAAAGCTCTGCTACATCTATTTTTTTTTTTTCCATTCTAAACAGATGGTTATGTTGTCTTTAGGGATTCTGGTAAAGATGTAATGAATTACGATCGCATGCAAACACTTCTAATATATTAGTTCTATTACAAAGACTTACCAAACAATTTTTGTTTAGTTTCATTTGGAAGTATCCACAGTTCCCTTTTTTTTTTATTTGATATTTAATGGAAATACATTATAGCACAAACAGGCTGACAGTCATTATAAGCACGAAGAGTCACAATTCACACTAGCTACCATCCTGAAATTCCTAAAATTCTTCAGACAACCCTCACTTAAATGAGAGCTTTCCTCGAGCCAAGGGGACTTTTTGCTCTTACTGATTTCAGCCAAAGGACTAGCAGTTCTTCTCCAATAGAGCACTTAGTAGGAATGGAAAGACAAAGTCTTCTACTCTGAAAATGTAGTTTCTGCAGAACAGATATGTGGGCAGATATGTGAACAGATGCTTTTCTCAACAGAATACATGGTCTGAACAGCTATTCCCAAGAGTTTGCTTTTGTTAACAGTCTTTGTGTTCCTCCCTCAGAACAGCTCTACTTGTGACCTTAGTTCTTCTTTCCTGGAGGGTTGTTTCCAGTTCTTTTTTCAGGTTAAATTGGCAGCATCTGTGATGAGGGCTGCTGGAACGCCCTTGGAGCTTTCATACCAGGACCAAAATCTGGTCACAAGGTGGGGTTGTAAGGAGACACTGGGATTCTGCTTTCTGACAGAGAAACCATGTTTAATCACTTGTGGCAACAAAATAAGGTCCTAAGTTTATACACTTGCATGCTCTTACCTACTCAGATATAGTCCTTGAGTAATCCCAGTGGATACTATTTAACTTCAAAAATAACATTCAGCCCTATAATTTCTCTACTGGCAGTTGAGCATCCAGTGCCACACTGTACCCTACATGTTCCTGTAACAATTCAAGCTTGTGAAGCACTAAGCAGTTGCTGTTTAGGATGGCTGTAAATAGCATTTGTATATGTAACATTATAAAATAAATTATCTCTAAATTAGTGATAGAATAGAGTTTATGCTGGTCTTTGGGCTTATACCTGCTGTAGACATACAACTGGGTCTTGAAATTGATTTGATCTTGTCATATCATCTTGAAAAGCAGTCAGCCACATCCAAAAGCCTTATTTAAATTTTTTTTCTCAGTGTATTTTGAATTATTCCTTATTTTGAGAGGTTATCCCATTATCAACACTACAGTGAGCTTTCTGCTTCTTGGTCATTTCAGATCTCATTGCTCTAGGTCAGAGTTTGTAAGCCATCATTGTCATTCTGCTTTCTGACTTACCCAAGTTCTGTGGAACAACTGTAATTGGAACATTTTATGAGACTAACCTATTGAACCAAAAATTTTGCTTAATGTTAAAGGTGGTGGAGTGCACTGGATAGGAGTACAGACTGAAAATTAACCTTCAGTGAGATAATTCTTAAACATTTAAATTCAGGATGTGGATCAAACCTGAATTTTCCCAGAATTTCAGATGTTTGAATTTGCTGTAAATAATGATTGGTTTGTCATAAATTTCATGTTGTGAGTTAGGCATATTTGTGAGTGGTTTAATATTAACGCAAATTTACACAACCTAACAGGAAAGGTATAATTAAAATTGATATAGATTTCATCACTTTTTAATGCAATGCTGTCAACTGGGGTTTCATGAATGTGATTGCAAGAAAATGGTATGCTTTTTCTGATGATGTGAATTCTTTTTACGCTAATGATCATTCCAGTTCACATTGTAATGACTTGATGACATGTGTTTTCTGGTTCTCATCTTGCAGGATATGATGATTCTTCCTTAGATAAGTATTTTCAGATACTTCTTTTGTAACAGTATGCCACAGCCTTAAAGAAGGAAAGGAGAAATTGTTTGGCCTGTAAGAGAAAAATAGTTTTCTGCAAGTCTAACAGTTTTAGCTGAAGTGTTTGCTTACCTTGTAAAAAATGTGTTATCCCCAATGGTTTCTTCTCTCAATTCCACTCATATTCCTCTCATTCAGATATTGCTATACATAACTTTCAATTTACAGCTAGAAAAAATAAACAAACAAAAACCCCCAGAAATTCAGTAGCACCTTGTTTTAAAAGAATATACGGTTTATTTGTTTGAATTAGGCCCAGGAGAAAAAGCATTCCAATTAGGTTAGTGCACCTTGGCACTTGGAGGCCATTTGAAAGAAGCTGAAGCTACTTTGTGAACTTAGAGATTATTTAAAGAAATGTAAACAGTGTGATGAAAGATATAACCAACCATGGGGAAGGAATAATCATAATTACTGAGCAGGATGAAAATCATAACCACTCCATCAAGCTTCCAATGTTTCTTGCAGTCTTTTACAAGTACTACCATCCTAAACGTCTCTGTCATTAGCCACAGGCTGCAATGTTCTGTAGCTGGTTTATGTTCATATTATGCAGAGGTACAGTATTAAGTCCTTTTTAGGCTCTTTTCCTCAGATATCATTTTCAGAATGTGATTGCTTGCTACTTCATATATTTCTGTATTTTCTTACAGTGGACTTTATAAACCAGAAAAATTTTCCTTCACAAGAGTTCTGGGGAGCTATTTTTGTGTGCTTTGTTTGGCTGTACCAATTTGCTGCCTCCTAATGTAGCGCTGGAAAATGATTATCAGATTACCTTTAATTTTGGTTGATGCAATTCTGCCAGGCAGAAGCAATAATCACTGTAATAGTTTTGTTTTCCAAACTTACTTCTACTGTTATTGCTTCAGCTCTCAAAGGCAGCACATTGCCAGAAGGGTTAAATACCTTACATTGCAATGTTATGTATAAGTAAGGGTGTTTCATTGTTTGTTTTAGGCTCAGGCATTAATTTTGTCCAGGCTTTCTGCACTTAATACAGACCTTTTCTGCAACAAAAGCAATTCTAGAGGGTCAATTCAGGCTGCATATTAAAATTACTGCTAGTGATGGCATGAATGTGCTATAAAATTCTGCTTGCAAAGCTGCCTGTTTTTCTTCAAGGCAAACATGAAACATGAACATTATATTTGCAGGTCATCATCACAGAAAAATACATTTTTCTAAATCCTCTTGCTCCTTTGAATCACACACCAGTAAAGCCTGCACTGTATCTTTCTTTGATTTTCTTATTCAAAAAGGGTGGAGCATTTCTGCATGCTTTGCCATTCAAACATTCCTGGTGGTTCTATTTTCAACTCAAAATTTTTAAATTAGTAACAGATGTGCTGATTCTTTTGACTGAAACAGAGGGCAAATTTTTCTACTATATTTTGAATAAAGGTTTTGAAACTTTTACTGATTATTGAACCCCAAGTGCTAGTTTTTGGTACCAGCCTTCACTGTAAACAGTATCTTATGGCACAGAGATGTTACAAAACTCAATGGGGAGCAGAATGTATTTGGATTGACTATAAAATTCAGCATATGGAGATGCACCTCTGTAAGGTGTATTGCCTATCCCAGCCTGTTTAAGTATATTTTGTTAATGTATCATCCTCACTTACACCAAAATTGCAAAGTAGGTACCCTGGAAAATATTTAGCATACATGCTTACGTATGTTACTGGTAAGGCTGGTCCCTTGGCAGAAAACATATAGAAAACTCTTGGGTGGCAGAACTCCCAGGAAACCTTGTAGCTCTTGTACACAATGAACTTCAGAGTCTCAGTGTCTCTAAAGCAGGAA